AAATAAATGAACTTTTCCACGATATTCTAATTTATTGAGATGCACCTGTATATATATATATAGAGAGAGAGAGAGATTTGCTAAAAACTACATTTAACGGCTATTAAACTATAATAAGTCTATATAATATACTGTCAGCGGAGGCGCCAGCGGAAGCGTTCAGCCCTCGTGTGAAGACCTACAAGTGTAAAGACCTGCGACTTTACCTGTGCGACTTTAACCGAGCAACGAAACCGGGCAACACACTTAAGTACTCTCATTTTTCCCTTTGCACACTCCTTTCTGTCCTCTCCCTTCCACCTCTATCAAGTGTTTTCAATACATTCCGGTTGTCCTGCAACAACGCGCTCACATTACTTGCAGACGGCAACACAATCTTGCTAACCTGCGTCCTATCTGTACATCTTCTACTGCACCTCTTTCTTTTTCTGTGGGTTTCTGGAATTGTCAGTCAACTGTCAACAAAGCAGACTTAATTTCTGCTTTTTCTTTAAACTCCACACTTAGCATCTTGGCCTTGACTGAGACCTGGATTCGTCCAGAAGACTCAGCAACCCCAGCTGCTCTCTCTAACAATTTCTCTTTCTCTCACACTGGTCTGCTCATTTCTAACAATTGGAAATACGCAACCCACTCTCCCCTATGCAATTATAACTGGGTCTCTGGAATTGTCTGGAATTGTAGATAATAGTATCTATACATAGTGCATCCTTAAATACAAACACACTTTTGCAAATCATTTTACAAAATGGTTAATGACTTCATACATCAACTAAAAAAAAAAAATATTATTATTACATAAATAAATTAGTTCTGACAAAGATGTCTTGTCATAATTAGTATACTTCAACTTTGCAATGCAATTAAATTCATACATGTTTCTCAAATATCTACACTTTTTGGAAGAAAATAATTTTCATTAAATTGATTCAAAGTGACATTAAAGGCATTTATAATAATAACAAACGATTTCTATATTAAATAAATGCTGAGCTTTTGAATTTCCTAAAATCATGAATCGTAATTTCCCAAAAAATATTGAGCAGCACAAGTGTTCTCAACATTGATAATAATAGTGTTTCTTGAGCACCAAAGCAGCATATTAGAATGATTTCTGTAGGATCATGTGGCGCTTAATACTGGAGCAACAGCAGTATAGTGTCAGACATTTGAAATTCCACTGTGCATCATTAGCACTTATTTACCTGTGTCTGGCCTGTAGAAAATGAATCTCTGTTTAAAGCAGGGGAGAACGAGACCAAAACTGTCCTTGGCCCCAATGACTCCTTGATCTTCATGCCCCACACCACCAACTCCTTCACCTCTCAGTATTTTTGTGACAGCCCCAGCATCCACTCCTGCGTGAAGGGCTATGACTGCCACCAGATGAGGGGGTCCATCCCTGCTACCCAGCTTCCTTTTCTCTGTCAGCACCTGTCACCCTCATCAACACCCAAAAAGAGATGCGTTAGTCAGCTAATCTCCAGTCTGTAAACCCCGTAGAAGACTATAATGTTTACTTTACCGAGTCTTTTTTGTTGCGTCGCAGCTGGTTGGCTTTGTTTCGACGGTCCATTTTCCTCATCTCTCTTCTCTGTTTCTTGGTGAGAGCCATGACAGCAACTCTACCTATTTAGGATGTATAGAGTCATGTTTATTGTCTTACACTTAGCATTAATGCATTGTGCTATTTATGATCGACACAAAACGAACCAGAATTTTTATGTAAGAATAGTGTCTATGAGAAACCTTTACAGCCAATAGTGAAAAGAAAAACATTTTAAACCAGACTAAGCTGGTCTGTTGGTCTCTCAACCTGGTCAGGCTGGTTTTAGTGAGGCTTTGGGCACTTTTCACAGTTCAGGCTGTGAGACCAGCTTTAATCAGTTAAGACCATCAAGCATCCTAGGCTGGCTTTTGTCAGCAGGGCTAAATTTAAACGTATAAACTGTATGCACAGAAAAACTTTAATATAAAGTCTCAATGATCATGTCTCGGGTCTTTAAACACGTGTTCAGTCAGACAGGCGGTTCCCGCGTGTGTATTTTTTGATAAACTCATCAGACATACCCTTGTTCTCCCGCCCGATCTCGCCTTTAGTTCGGTGTTTTCCATGCTTGTGCTGTTTGTTTTTCTGTTTATAAGCTCCAGGTCTGTGCGCCTGCTGCTGTTCGCCTCCTGCAGCCATTTTGTCATGCCGCATATGTAAACTTTAATGACGTCATATCCACGCGCCTGGCTTTCCTTCTGCAGAATCGTCACTGAGTAATAAAGTGCGCACGTGCCACCTACTGTTGTTCCGCTGCATCCTCCTCGCATAGATAGAAGGGATTCAGGGCTGTTAATCTCATTTACCAAAACCTATAGTGAAGCTTATGAAATGAAAACTGTCAAATAACATTTTTACTCGCAAAATTTAGCTTAAAGGAGATTTTACTTTTAGGACTAGTTATATTTTTTTAGCATTATTAAGTTATTTTTTATAAAAAATACAATAATGTGGTGAAAAAACATTAATGTTTTTATTTGTTAATGTATTATTTATATTGTAATGAATTTGTAAGGTATTTAATGACCATTGTTAGTATGCATCATCATGGTAGTATTTCTCATTCTGACTTTAATGTATAGGCTACTTTTATATGAATAATAAATCTTAAAAATACTTTGGATATGTTTGGATTTTTTGTTTCTTAATACACAAACGTAGATGCACACACATTATTTACAGCATTAAATATATCTGCAAGCTGTCAGAGCTGTGGTGCAGTGGGTAGTGCCCAATTTTATGCACATGCTGGTTCGCATCGAGCATTATATCCTGATCATTTTCTCTTTTTTCTCATTCCATTAACCTATAAATATGTCTGAAAAACCCTGTAAATCTAAATAATAACAAAAAAAAAAGACTGTGAGCTGGATTTTACAGTACATGTACGTCCCCTTTTTTCTCAGGAAATCATGGGAGGTATAAAGCACACATTAATTTCTCATTACCATCTATGCAGGACATAGCTTGTCTCGTGTGTTTTTTCGTGTGTTTTTTTCTTTTCTTATCGTTTCCTGAGAAATTTTATTTCAGCATGGTTTCTCAATCATGCTTGTGGGTTGTATTATTTTATATCATCATAAAACACCATAAAAAAAGAAAACAAATAATTGTGTCATCATATAGTCATAGCCTATTTTATAAATAGATTCTCCGTAGAGGAAATAATAAATCATTCTCAGCACAAAAAAAACCCTTTTAAGACCTTCTCTAAACATTTGATAAACACCAAGAGTTCATTCAAAGTGTATAGCCATATTAAGTCAAATGGCTCATTTAGTCTCTAGAGAACTTCTTTGTTGTTTTATGTTGAATCACTATAACACACCACCTTGTCTCTCTAATGACATCAACAGGATGAAGCATGGCTCTTTAAATCCCATTCATAAAACAGGTACCATAAGTCTCAAAACCCTCTGTTCGCCTGGATACAGTGACAGCATCCTGCGTTCTCATTGGCTGGGAGACATGGCTGCTTCAGAACCAACCCAGAGCGCTAGTTCTCTGTTCTGTTTACCAATTGGTTGCTTGCAGGCTTGTTGACATCACTGTAATCATTTTGCCCAGGGATCAGCTTTAACCTCTTAGTGATCCATAACAATGATGATAACCAATATTAAGCAATACCCAGAAAACCTACAGCTCTTTACATTTTTAGGTTTAAACTGTGGTGAAATATGTAAGGCTGGGATTAGTTTACTGTATGCTTACAACAGACGCCAGCTGTAATCTTTTTCATTTGATTTGTATGACTTCTGCTCTGCTTGTACTAGTTATCTTCAAGTCTATCTGTGTGAGTGCTGGTGGGTTTTCAAACTTCAGACACAGAATCATCAGGATCATTTAGGGGTTTTTTGAGGAGACAGCAGCAGCATCATATGATTTGTAAGGCATTTGTTAGTTTAGCATATGGGAGTATCATGATCATCATAATTAGTAAATCTCCAAAACATTTCCAAGATACTCCCATATGTATGTAAACTGATAGCTTCATGTGATACACTTTTAAAAATGTATTAATCAAGAAATTCCAACAAATGTAATCATAATGCTGAAATTGCATTGCTGCACTGCAGCCACTTCTTTTCAAGGAATCACGTTTCATTACATTTTCCTCTGATTTGATCTGTGTTTACCTCTACAGAACTGCTGCAATTAAAATTACTTTGAATAGGGTGGGATATCTTAATACTTCTTTAAAAAAAATAAGAATCTAAATCCATTACAGAGCTTTGACTTTCCTCATATATTTTGGCAGCCCCAGCAAACAAAGTTTTAAATATTGATAAAGGACATATTTATGTGTATAGCTGTTTATTATAGGGGGTTTAATGCTCTGTCTCTAGGGGCCGGTGGGAGTTTCCCACAGGTAGAGGGCGGAACTTGCGTTCCAGGAACCAGGACGAGAGGAGGAGGGCAGCAGTGGTCCAATTCTTTTTAGCGAATCGGTTCGCTTCATGAACCGGTTCAAACAATCCGATTCATAGAGTCGTTTGAGTCGCCACTCCAAAGCGCTCCAGAAATACTCGCGTGTCATTACGATTTTGTGGTACGTACATCGTGGTACATTCTAGTAAAATGCCACTGTTTATCACTATGTTTTGTATTTATTACATACTTACATAATGTATGTTTGTTTTAAAGATAAGCGACTTCTGTTCGTGTGCGTAACTACTTTAAAGTTGCTTGAAAACACTATTAAAACGTACTGCATATGTACTATTAAAATCCCCCAAAACCTTGTGTTTTTAGTTGCTTTTAGGGAATAAATAAAAAATGAAACTTTAGTATAACAATTCACACCCTGGCTGGATTCTCGAGCGCCTTTTTAGCAATCGGTCGGTTCTAGCTAGTTATTAAAAAGATTCAGTTCAAAAGAACGATTCCACGGCGAATCGGCACTAGAGGAGGGCAGAGAGAGAAAAATCACAGTCACCACCACAACATGATCATCACCCCACAGCCCAAACACACCGGTGTAAAAAACAAGTCTTGAGCATTTCGGACCGAATCTGAGGTGTGGTCTCGCCGTCGGTGTGTAAACGGAGCGTGTTTATCTCTGTTTTTAAGCCGTCAGGGAGTGGATCTGTCTCGGACGCCATCTTTAGCTGCAGCAGTAGCCCGGGAGAGTGAAGAGCTGCTGGGCCACCGTCAACCAGCACCGGGCTGGAGGAGTTTCTCCAGCGGACACCCATGCTTGACAGCGATCGATAAGTTTGTCGTAACTGATTTGTGGTCAGTAGACGTGTTTCAGTCCACTGGGTTTGTTGTTGTTGTGGTGGTCGGAGGAGCTTTCTCGGGCTGGCTACTCATCCTGGCCTGTTGGGAGGGTAAGTGAGCTGTTAGCGCTTCTGCTAACTTAGGTTCATGTCAAAATAAACATTTCTTGCTTTTTAACACAGCAGAATGACTTAGTTAAACGTTTTTCTGTTTATTGTAGCCCATTCCAGTGAATTAACATTAAAAACGCAACCGTGTGTATTAGTTGCCACCCAAGTCATGGGTTTGACTGTTGAAGTTTGGCTGCAGGTGAGGAAACTGTTAACAGATCATCTTCATATTCATCATATAGAAATGCGCATGTGTCTGCTGGGATTTTAGCTCGTGTGTGATCTGTGTGTAATGTGGATGTCACCTTGTGTATGTTGTCTATTATGATTATTTTGTCATATATATATTAAGGTGTGTTGCCTTATTGTGGTCTGAAATACTTAAGAACATGCTGTTCCTGTAAAGTGCAGTTGACCATCCAGGCTTAAGTATCTGTGTAAACAGCAGTTTAATTAGATGTATTTGTACAGTTGAGATGTACAGACTGAATGATCATGATGGATGGACCTACTGTTTACATTTTGAAATTTCCATCTGTCAATGGGATGCTGTCTTTATTGTAATAGATCTGATGATTCATAAATGGCTCTTAGATGTTATGATTGCTTTATTGCTTCTGCTGGTCTTGTATAGTATTTCCTGCTGTCCTACCTGTGTATTGATGCTCGTATGCTGCCACAGTGGAAATGGCCGCTCTGATTGTAATGCAATGAAGCTCTGCTGCATTTGTTTATTGCTTTGCATTGCTCATAAACATGCAAACTGGTGGTATGTGAACGAGAGGCTGAATAGTGCCTCTGTTGTGGAGAGACACTGCCTGCTTTCTCCACCGTGATTGTCTTTCTCTGACCTCATTGCTGCCTCTTAAATCTGGGCCTCTGTCCACAACAGCATCCGTTACACTGAGCCCTCGGGGTCTCCACTCCCACATCCATCTGATATCAGACCTCTGATTATCATTGATGTCATCAAGTGACTAACACAAGTTTGTTCTATCAGTTTTGACACTTTCCATGCATCCCTCACTCTTGCGGGATAATAATTGATTCAAATATCCCAAACGTATAGCTGTTCTTGCACAGTGAGATCTACAGTGTTGCACTGACCAGCTTTGAATTTTTGTCCTCCCGAGCATTTAAGTATGATTATTATTTAAGGGCTTAATTGAACAGTTTTGTAAATTAATTAATTATTTTATTTTATTTTTTATTATTGCTTGCCCAGTAGTTCAGACATTTAACCATTGTTTGGGCTGCACACACACAAACACACAAAACAAATAATGTTACAAAGGAATATATATATATTTTTTTTATTATAGTAATGAAAAAACTATAATAAAGTTTAGTTATTTAAACTTTATTAGTTTAAATAACTATAATGACAAAAGTACTTGCTGCAGTTGAACACTGAATTCCGATGTTTTTTTTTTTTTGTCTTGTGTTCAACATCTGTTCCGTTAAAGTATATCATAAAAACACGTTTTTTTGTTTGTTTGTTTTTTGCTTATTGTTATAGAAGAAACAATAGCCTAATTATAAACACACTTTTTTCAGGGATTCTAAAGCGGCATCAAGGACTTTCCCAAAAGTCAATATTATATTGAAAAGTATAAGTATTGCTTGCAAAAAAAACAATAATATCAGATATTTAGCAGCTATGGTCTCTTAAATAATGCCCATGGTACAATTTCCAAATGAAATTATCTCCGCAGGTGCAGCTAGGACGCAGGGCCTTATCACTCGCAAGGTCATACTCCGTGTTTATAAATACAAAGCGGTGCAGCGCTGGCACGGGACAGCATCTCTAAAGCTCTGCCCATGGAGAAGGACTGGGTCAGAGCTGTGCTGCTGTTTGTCTGGCAAATGAAGGGAACTCCCTGCTTCGACGGAGAACTTTCCTAGACATTCCTCCTAATCTGCATTTAAAGGATGTTGTGATGCTTGTTTAAGGAGAGGGGTAAGTTGTTTGATATCCTGACGAATTCTTTCAGGCCAGTCGTGACTGGACAGTTTTTGTGGTCAGGGTTATTTGGTGTAGGACAGTAATAGGAATACCTACAGTGTGAAATCATCACTGAAATGGTATTGATTTGATAATATTATACATAAACAAGCTGGGTTTTTGGACAGATAGAACTATTTCCTTGTGTTTGCGGTGGCAGTTACAGTTCTGTTTTTCAGCTTTTCACACATTCCTGAATAGCAACTCAGCATTTCTCCATTTGTGTGGCTAAGCTTTGCTTTGACTCTAGTAGTATTGTTTAAACTTGTCAGTTCGTTGGAAAATGAGATGAAGTCTGAAGGAAATGAGTTGAAGGAGTTAAGAATGTTGATGTTGACTTAAAGAGCTGATTAGCACTGAAATGGTTGATGGGAGATTTGAAGTGGCATTAGCACATGAGCTGAGTGAACAGGAAATAGAGAAACACTGCGTGAAAGAAAGCAAGCGACATCATGTAGGCAGTTCCTGCCCTGCTGTTGTTTCGTCCTGTCCTGCCACATTCCTTCTGTGTGTCTGTTGAATGGCCTGATGGGGTGTCATCTCGTTCTGCCCTTACAGCCTGTGTCACATGCTAAGCATCTGGCAGTTAGCATGATTGCTTCGCAACCCTGCTTTTTTAAATTCAATGTCAATGAATTTGAATTGAGGTGGAAAATTAGATGCGGAACAGTCATTTGAATGTTAATTGAAAGAACTAGAACTAAAATGGAATGAACAAGCATTCATTTAAAAGAACATTTATATATAAAAATTAATATGTACACTAACATTCAAAAATTTGTGTCAGTAAGATTAAAAAAAATATATACTTTTATTCAGCATAATGCATTAAATTGATTAAACATGACAGTAAAGACTTTTATAATATTTCTGTTTCAAATAAATTCTATTCATCAAAGTATCCTGAAAAATGCATCACAGTTTCTAAAAAATATTAAATGGCACAGCTGTTTTCGACATTGAAAATAATAAATGTTTCATGAGCACTAAATCAGCATATTAGAATGATTTCTGAAGGATCATGTGACACTGAAGATTGGAGTAATGATGCTGAAAATTCAGCTTTGCCATCACAGAAATAAATTATATTTTAAAATATTTCTAATTGTAATAATTTAATTGCAAACATTTGACCGGTAGTGTAAATATTTATATATATAATTATTATTTTGAATTCATGCTTTTTCATTCCATTTTGAATTTCAATATTTTTTAAATATATAAAGTCGTTTAAATGGCTTCAAAGCTATCATCTCAAATAAAGAATCTCAGTTTTCAAAATGAATCCCAAGGACCTGCCACCCAGGCTCACATGATTATAAACATTTTAAATGCTTCCTTAAAGTGGTCATCGCATGTACCTTCATGCCTGTTTACAATACTATTACACTTTAAACAATACATAAGTGCCTATGGTTAATTGTTGTCAAAATATAAACCAATATAAATTCAAGTTCAAACAACCTTTCAAAACCCTAAATAGTGCATGATCTGGCCCACTGTAAGCGTTTTCAGATATAGTTAGAGTGTCTGTCAGCTCTGCATCTATAGTGCTCATGTGTGTGTAAAGGTGAACGGGATGGTGTGATTCGAGTGGGTTGATGTGTGTGTGTGTGTGTGGGCAGAGAGAGTGTGAGGCAGCTGGTGTGGTGGGAGGCCGGTCTTGTGACTGAGACATCAGCCCTGAGCTCTCAGCATTGTGTCTGTGCAGCCGATCATCTGAGCAGCACTGAGGGGGGAGCATCGGCCCAAACCCAACCAGCTCCAGCAACAAACAAAGCACTATTTTAGAATGAGGTCATTCCTATGTGCCTATAGTTTGATGGTGTTTACTTATAAAGCACACAGTGGGAATGAAGGCCGCTTGTGTAACTATGACAGCATTGGTATTAATGAGAGTGTTAAAGTTAAATTTGGTGTTATCATCATAACTAACTTACAGGAATAGTTTACCCAGTCAATAAAATTTATCATGTTGTTCCAAACCTTTATAATTTTTCCTTCACAAAAGAAGATCCTTAAAGGGGTCATAGGATGCCCATTTTCCACAAGTTGATATGATTCTTTAGGGTCTTAATGAAAAGTCTGTAACATAGTTTGGTTAAAAGTTCTCAATGGTAGTGTAAAAAACACCTTTTTTACCCTGTAAAAAATAGCTGTTTTCAGATCAAGCCATTTTTGTAGCATTTTCCTTTAAATGTTAATGAGCTCTGCTGACCCCACCCCTCTCTTCCGAACTGCTCTCAGAGAGACTGGTTACTTTAGCCGCATTCATCGTGAAACTTGCTAATTAGCACATTATTAGGAAAGGCGATTTGCAAAGATTCATTACAAAACACAACACATTTCAGTTCAAACAACTTGTAAAAGTGCAAAAGTGAGCGATATACCGGTAGACACGATTAACCAGTAGAAATTTGTCAACCGGTAGAGATATCTTCTCTATTGCGGTTACACGCTCGCATGACGTTGCTGTGCTACGTGATCAAGAAAACTTGTCGCATTTTTAAGCATTGCGGTTTAAAAACAAGCGATTTTAAGTCGTTTAAATGCAATCAGCAGCGAAAGAGAACTCATTTTGTTAAATGTGCAAACTGTTTCTGAGTGCTGTCAGAGGCGCGTGCACATGAAGATGATGCTCATAGAGCACGGGACTATTGAATAGTTATTTTTGCCGCACTATAGGCCTTTAACGGTTAAATACACACACTTGTATGTAAAAGTAAGTAAAAACAAACTTAAGTAAAAGCAAACACCTGAGAAAGAAAATACACGTGTAACTGTATATTGGATCTGGGCAGCTCTTAAAGTGACAGCTAAATCACATTTGTAACTTTAATAAGAAACATATATTTAATTTACACAGTGAATAATATGCAACGGAAAAAAAATCCCGGGGATTAATTTTACATGCACAAAAAGCAGCAAACAACAGAATATGAAGATTCACATGGTCATCATATCACATCACACACCTGCAGCGGTTCTGCGAGCG